GACCTAAACTACTCTATCCCTTTGGGCCAACCCGTCGTCCTGTTTAGAGAGTACTGATTGCGACGACCGTCAATAGTCAGAATTCGTACGTTCTTAACTTTTAGAAAGAAATTCTTTTAAAATAAATGAAGCTAAAACACAAATTAAAATATTCCCAGGCCTAATGTAGCACATATATGTTCTATAATTAGGCCTCAGATATCGTGTATTAGGCCTAGGGAGGTTAGGATAGGTTGGTTTAGTTTGTTAAAGCAGCACAATTAAATAATTTTCCCGGTTTGTCCAACTCAATAGTTCAAATTTCTACGTTCTAATTTCGTTGTACGTCGGTATATTAATACTATGGTCCTCATCGTTACGATAAGTACTACCAAATCATGAAGATGGGCTGTTTGAGATGTATTTCATTTAACTAAAAAAAAAAAAAAAAAAAAATCTTAAACTAGGCTTCGGTTCTCTATGTTGACACTTCAAATTTGCAATTTGATGTAAGCGAAGTCTTCCAGTTGGTCAGCAAGACAGGATCGGCAAAGAAAAAATTTCAGCGGACCTGGGAGTAGTTACTCGTAGAACCTTCTTATTAAACACCATAATGAAGAAATGGTCAGAAATGCAAGCAAGTCGAACGGCTTGATAGCAAGAGCGCTTCCAACCAAGAGCGGGACTAACCTTTGAGAAACCAATACTCTCTCTAGGGTGGAATACAATTCTGCTTCCTATCAACGTCATCATTTACAGCAGGCGAAATTACTGACCTGGAGAATGTGCAGAGAACATTTACTGCCCGAACTATTCAGTCATCTTAATTATTTGGAACTTATTAAACCTCTCACATTGTATTATTCCTTAGAATGCAGGCGAGAGACAACAGTTATTTAAATCTAAAAAATCCTGGAGGCAGTTCCATTAATGATATTTTGTACAAGGTTTTATTGGGGGTACTGTGGCTTTTGTAGACAAGTGTGGCGACTCAGGTTGTGGTGGTGGCAGCAGTGGTAGAGGTGGTGGTGGCAGCAGTGGTAGAGGTGATGGTGGTGGTGGCAGCAGTGGTAGAGGTGGTGGTGGCAGCAGTGGTAGAGGTGGTGGTGGTGGTGGCAGCAGTGGTAGAGGTGGTGGTGGTGGTGGTGGCAGCAGTGGTAGAGGTGGTGGTGGTGGTGGTGGCAGCAGTGGTAGAGGTGGTGGTGGTGGTGGTGGCAGCAGTGGTAGAGGTGGTGGTGGCAGCAGTGGTAGAGGTGGTGGTGGCAGCAGTGGTAGGTGGTGGTGGTGGTGGCAGCAGTGGTAGGTGATGGTGGTGGTGGCAGCAGTGGTAGGTGGTGGTGGCAGGTGGTGGTGGTGGTGGCAGCAGTGGTAGAGGTAGTGGTGGTGGTGGCAGCAGTGGTAGAGGTGGTGGTGGCAGCAGTGGTAGAGGTGGTGGTGGTGGTGGCAGCAGTGGTAGAGGTGGTGGTGGCAGCAGTGGTAGAGGTGGTGGTGGTGGTGGCAGCAGTGGTAGAGGTGGTGGTGGCAGCAGTGGTAGATGGTGGTGGTGGCAGCAGTGGTAGAGGTGATGGTGGTGGTGGCAGCAGTGGTAGAGGTGGTGGTGGCAGCAGTGGTAGTGGTAGTGGTGGTGGTGGTGGCAGTGGTAGAGGTGGTGGTGGTGGTGGCAGCAGTGGTAGAGGTGGTGGTGGTGGTGGCAGCAGTGGTAGAGGTGGTGGTGGTGGTGGCAGCAGTGGTAGAGGTGGTGGTGGTGGTGGCAGCAGTGGTAGAGGTGGTGGTGGTGGTGGCAGCAGTGGTAGAGGTGGTGGTGGCAGCAGTGGTAGAGGTGGTGGTGGCAGCAGTGGTAGAGGTGGTGGTGGCAGCAGTGGTAGAGGTGGTGGTGGCAGCAGTGGTAGAGGTGCTGGTGGTGGTGGCAGCAGTGGTAGAGGTGGTGGTGGCAGCAGTGGTAGAGGTGGTGGTGGTGGTGGCAGCAGTGGTAGAGGTGGTGGTGGTGGTGGTGGCAGCAGTGGTAGAGGTGGTGGTGGTGGTGGTGGCAGCAGTGGTAGAGGTGGTGGTGGCAGCAGTGGTAGAGGTGGTGGTGGCAGCAGTGGTAGAGGTGGTGGTGGCAGCAGTGGTAGAGGTGGTGGTGGCAGCAGTGGTAGAGGTGGTGGTGGTGGTGGCAGCAGTGGTAGAGGTGGTGGTGGTGGTGGCAGCAGTGGTAGAGGTGGTGGTGGCAGCAGTGGTAGAGGTGGTGGTGGTGGTGGCAGCAGTGGTAGAGGTGGTGGTGGTGGTGGCAGCAGTGGTAGAGGTGGTGGTGGCAGCAGTGGTAGAGGTGATGGTGGTGGTGGCAGCAGTGGTAGAGGTGGTGGTGGCAGCAGTGGTAGAGGTGATGGTGGTGGTGGCAGCAGTGGTAGAGGTGGTGGTGGTGGTGGCAGCAGTGGTAGAGGTGGTGGTGGTGGCAGCAGTGGTAGAGGTGGTGGTGGTGGTGGCAGCAGTGGTAGAGGTGTTGGTGGTGGCAGCAGTGGTAGAGGTGTGGTGGTGGTGGTGGCAGCAGTGGTAGAGGTGATGGTGGTGGTGGCAGCAGTGGTAGAGGTGATGGTGGTGGTGGCAGCAGTGGTAGAGGTGGTGGTGGTGGTGGCAGCAGTGGTAGAGGTGATGGTGGTGGTGGCAGCAGTGGTAGAGGTGGTGGTGGCAGCAGTGGTAGAGGTGGTGGTGGTGGTGGCAGCAGTGGTAGAGGTGATGGTGGTGGTGTTGGCTACACTTGCCAGTTGGTGTGCTCACTCAGGGTTCATCAGGGACTCGACCCTGGGAGAAGGGCAACACACAACCAGTGGGCCACGACCCGCTAATGAGTTAACTAGCGGCCAAGCTGAAGAGGAGGGACGCCCACCACACGATTAAACATTTTGAGCGAATTAAACTTAGTTAGCGGTGTTTAGACGCCAACCAGACCTCACAGAGACAAGGCAATTTGCGTGACTTAATTAACTTCCCTATTAGCCATATCACGTGCAGTAGTTAGTGAACGTGCTCTAGTTAGCGAGTATGCTGTTGTTAGTGAACGTGTAAAAGTCCCCAGACAGTATAGCTGATATTAACACGAACTCAGAAGACTTTGAAAGAGAAATTGGCAACGTGCCCATGGCACTCAGCCCCTGTTCCTGACTCGAGGAATTCAATATTCATAAAGAAATGTAAAGTACCAGTAGCGCGAGCGCTCAGTGTAATAAGGAGAAAGAGCCTGGATACAGGGGAGATATCAGCAGCACTTAAATTAGCAGATATAGCTCCTCTACACATGGGGGTAGTATAGCTTTGGCAACAATTATAGACCAGTTACAATACCATCACCCACAAATGTTTTTGAAAGAGTGATTAAGAATCAAATTTCCAGGTTTATGGAAAACAATGAACTCAATAACCCAGGTCGGAGGCATGTGATAAGTGTGACCATGGATGATAGCCATAAAATGAGATGAATAGGAATAATGGGTAAAGCAGGAGGTTGGATTTTCAATTTTCTGTCAAATGGAATGTAAAGAGTAACAGTGAATCAAATCGAATAAAGTCCAAGTGCAGTGAAAATCTCTGTACCTCAGGGCACAGTCCTTGCACCACTGCTTTTTCTCATCCTTATCTCGGATATAGACAAAAATTTTGGTCGCAGCTTCGTGTCTTCCTGTACAGATACAAAAATCAGCATGAAAATTTCCCGTGTAGAAGACACTTAAAAACAACAGGCTGATATTAATAAAGTCTTTGATTGGTCAACGGAAAATAACATGATGATTAACAGTGAAACGTTCCAGGTATTTAGTTATGGTGAAAACGAGGAACTTAAGCGAAATACTGGTTATTTGACACAGTTCGACTTACTCATAGACGGAAAACAATACTTTAAAGCAGGCGATGAGTCACAATAACGTGGCAGAAGTATGTTGACCAGAATACACACTAGAAAGTGAAGGGACGACGATGTTTCGGTCCGTCCTGGACCATTCTCAAGTCGATTGTCAATGGTCCAGGACGGACCGAAATGTCGTCGTCCCTTCACTTTCTAGTGCGTGGTCTGGTCAACATACTTTAAAGGTTTGGAAATTATTATGTCTGACGACCGGCCATTTTGTGGACATAACCGAGCAAATACAGCAGCGGCCAGGAAAATGATAGGATGGATTATGAGAACATTAAAATTCAGGAATCCTACAGCAAAAAACATCAATTTTATTGCTATTGAAATCCATGATACTGTCCCGTCTTGAGTACTGCTCTGTATTCACTTTCCCCATCAGAAAAGGCGAGAGTGTTGAAATAGAGGGAATACAGAGAACATATACGGCACGCATAGACACTATACAGCATCTACATTATTGGCACCGTCTCAAAATGCACTCTATAAAAAAGAAACAAGAGAGGTATCAAATAGTACATTCATGGGAAATACTGGAGGGTCAAGTCCCAAATTTACACAGAAAAATAACAACGTACTGGAGTGAACAATACGGCAGGTAATGCAGGATAGAGCCAGTGAACAGTAAAGGTGTCATAGGCACAATCAGAGAGCACTGTATAAACATCAGGGGTCCACGGCTGTTCAGTAGCCTCCCAGCTTGTATAAGAAATATTACCGGAACAAAAGTAGAAGTCTCAAAGCAAAAACTGGACACTTCTGCAAGAAGTGTCGGACCAATCTATTTGCAGCGGATATGAGGGTCTGCGGGCCGCTCAAAGCAACTGCCTGTTGGACCATGCTTTCACAGAAGAGTTGGGCTCCAGGAGTAGAACAAACCCGGAACAGTCTCCAGATATGCTGTAACAAGTGTGCGTGCTGTAGTTAATGTGTGTACTCACCTATTTGTGCCTGAAGGATCGAGCATTAGCTCTTGGACCCCGCCGATTGTCTAATGCAATGACACTTGATGCAATGACACTTGACCTATTTCCGTATCATATCTATTTTTAAAGTTATGAATAATTGCTCCCACAACCTGCTCCTTTAGTTCATTTCCTTTTACCACTACTCTTATGCTAGAAGTAAACTTTCTTACATCTCTTGAGTCTCAAGCGTCCATCAATGCTCTCTTGTTCTACTGGTATCCACAGAAGTATTTTATACGTCTCTATCATGTCTCCCTTCTTTGTCCTCTTTTTCTAGCGTCGTCAGGTTTAGTTCATTCAGTCTCATTTCATATTCCATCCGTCGCAATTCAGGGACAAGCCTCGTCGCAAACTTCTGAAACTTTTCGAGGTTACATGTGGGTTTTTTAAGGGGGTTCTACAATAGGGAGCCGGTCGACCGAGCGGACAGCACGTTGTGATCCTGCGGTCCCGGGTTCGATCCCAGGCGCCGGAGAGAAACAATGGGCAGAGTTTCTTTCACCCTATGCCCCTGTTACCTAGCAGTAAAATAAGTACCTGGGTGTTAGTCAGCTGTCACGGGCTGCTTCCTGGGGGTGGAGGCCTGGTCGAGGACTGGGCCGTGGGGACACTAAAGCCCCGAAATCATCTCAAGATAACCTCAAGATAGATGAGGCGGCACTCTAAAATTGATCTCGTAGGCGGCGTACTGTAATCTAAATTCCTCCTTATATAGGTTCCTGAATAATGTTCTGACATTTGCTAGTGTAGAGTATGCTGCTGACGTTTTCCTATTTATATGAGCCTCTGGAGTTAGGTTTTGTGTCCTAACCAAAGGATACCTGATCAACCAGGCTGTGACTCATACGCCAGGCTGCGAGCAGCCGCGTCCAACAGCCTGGTTGACCAGTCCAGCAACCAGGAGGCCTGGTCGACGACCGGGCCGCGGGGACGCTAAGCCCCGGAACCACCTGAAGGTAACCTCAAGGAAACTATGTCCACTTTCAGGTCTTTTTTCTAGTTGCTATAGGGAGGTAGTTTTTCTGCATTGTGTATTGTCTCTTTGGTCTCCTGTCGCCTGTTCCAATTTCCATCACTTTACATTTGGTCGTGTTGAAGTCCAGTAACCATTTCTCGTACCAACTCTGCAGTTTGGAGAATTTTAAAATCCTCATATGGCACAACTCTCTTCATTAATTTTGCATCGTCTGCAAACATCGACACATAAGAGTCAACTCCTGTGCTAATTTTGTCAACATCTCATGGTGATACGTTGTCTGGTTCAACAGCTTTAGTTACGTCCAGTGATGCCAGTTGTTTCTTGACTTTTATACAGTGCTGATAGATCCTCTCTCGTCTTTTGGAAGCTGTTGCTTCCCATGCACATAAGTATCTGAGCCTGATGAGATGTAAGTGTACTTCTGTGTTTGTCACACCCTTCATCAGAAGTGGTTCCCAGTTGGCTGAATTCTTGTACCAACCCGCGGATCCTGATGTTTCAGGCGCTGCGTTGCGGTCACGGTACAGCTGTACTGCTGTATCTTCGTGCCTTCCTTTGATATTTGCTGTGTTAGACTTTGTGGCATGTGACTGCCTTCCTTCCCCCACATAGCCAGTTCTGCAGCCTCATCTGCGCTGTCATTCCCTGGTATTCCTACATGACTTGACATCCAGTTAATAAGTATTTGAGGACCATGACGTTTGAGTGTTTGCATTGCTGATGTAACATTTGTGGTGAGATGAATGCCATCACGCAAGTATTCATGTTGTAAGGTTCAATGGCAGTTTTCGACTCTGTATGATAACGTGTTGTTGGTGTGTGTGTGTGATGTACTTAGTGTGTGTACTGTAGTTAGTGTGTATGCTAAAGTTAGTTGTACAATTGTCCAGCATTATGTTAGTGTATGGGATGTTAGTATACGTGCTCAGCCCGTCCTCACAAGGGTTCCCAGCGTCAAGAAACTGTCGTAATAAAGTGCCCCTTATCCTAACATACCAGAGGACCCAAAACAGAAAACGGGACAGTATGTCAATTTTGCGAGCCGCTCCCATTATCTAGCTGGACAGTTTTGTGGCCTTAGATAAAGTACACGTGCGACGTGCTATTAGAGGGGACGTGTTGACGTACTGCCGTTCGTGTGCGTGCATTTCGGGTACGTGCAGTTCGTGTACGTGTTTAGGGATTCTTGACGTTGCCGGAACAACCGTGGACATCTTCAAGAGAAAACTGGACTGTTTTCTAAGAGAAATTCCGGATCAGCCGGGCTGTGGTGGGTATGTGGGCCTGCGGGCCGTTCCAAGCAACAGCCTGGTGGACCAAACTCTCACAAGTCGAGCCTGGCCTCGGGCCGGGCTTGGGGAGTAGAAGAACTCCCAGAACCCCATCAACCAGGTATCAAGCAGGGAATCTTAAAAACAGGCTCTAAAATGACTCCTCTGTCATTATGCTAGGCTGTCAAAGAAAACGAGTAAACAAAAACATGGACACTCTCATTGACCAACTGACGAATCAGTTTAACAATCCAAGGCCACATTAAGATTGCAATATACTTGAGATCACAGTGACATCTATCCTCGTGCGAAAATAAATGATATAACGAAAATTTCAAGCAAAGCAACTTTACACAGTTGCTCACTGTAGTTGAAATTGCTACAATCATATTGATACACAAATAATATCCTCTTACCTGAAATAACATATATGGGTGTATATGCACTTGAGCAGCGCAAAAGAAAAACAATAATATAGCAACATGTACATAGTGTAATGGAATCAGTTTGTGTGTGTATATATATATATATATATATATATATATATATATATATATATATATATATATATATATATATATATATATATATATATATATATATGCGAACAAGCCTGAATGGTCCCCAGGACTATATGCGACTGAGTGAATAGGACCTCGTTCTATTTTGTTGGTTTCGGAACTTGAGGTAATGACTAATAGGAACAGGCGGGGGCATTCGTACTGCGACGCTAGAGGTGAAATTCTTGGACCGTCGCAAGACGAACTACTGCGACAAACTTCCAAAAAAAGCAGCTTTGCCAAGGATGACTTTTTTCATTAATCAAGAACGAGAGTTATAATGAAATCATTATATATATATAATGATTATGGCTTAATCTTCTAAGATCAGGCAATCAGATGAAGTGATTCAAGTGTACGTTACCCAGTGAGTTTGTCGTAACAAAGCTCGTCGTTTTTATATTCATAAGAACATTATAAGTAAATTGCCACGACTGGATGTGTTGATCTATTGCTGCTTCAGCTTCTAAATATTTCATTACGTCCTTCTCATTGTAAATATCAAATAAGACTACCTATCCTTAGGCTAAAGCTTAATTTTAAGTCTCACTAATTTAGAGGAATTCATACTTTCATTAGAACGAGATTCATGGGCCTTCTGCGTTGTGAACAATTCATTGAACGAGGACTATATGCGATTCTGGGGTGTGAGTTTTCAGTTTATTTTCGTGATATACACACACATATATATATATATATATATATATATATATATATATATATATATATATATATATATATATATATATATATAATATGTTGTACCTAGTAGCCAGAAAGCAGTACTTGGCCTACTATGCAAGGCCCGATTTGCCTAATGAGCCAAGTTTTCCTGAATTTATAAATTTTTCGAATTTTTTTTCTTATGCAATGATAAAGCGATCCATTTCATTATATATGAGCTAATTTTTTTAAATTTGATTTAAAACTAACGTAGATATATGACTGAATGCTCCCCAGGCATACATGCAACTGAAAACTCACCCCCCAGAAAATCCATACTGCCAGGAGCACTATGCAACTGGTGTAGAGGGCACCTTATCCACTCGACCATCACGAATGAGGAGATTTGATAAAATACTATGCCCAAGATTACCATCAGAGTGCCGGCGGGCTGATGGGGAAATAGCCTCGGCTACCATCAGCTTTTGTGCGATCGTGATGGTCGAGTGGATAAGGTGCCCTCTACACCAGTTGCATAGTGCTCCTGGCAGTATGGGTTCGAGTCACTTCTGGGGTGTGAGTTTTCAGTTGCATATATGCCTGGAGACCGTTCAGGCTTGTTCGCATGATATATATATATATATATATATATAATATATATATATATAATATATATATATATATATATATATATATATATATATATATATATATATATATATATATATATATATAAACGAAAAAGGGGCGTGTCTGTGCACCTCGTACGCTATTGGTTAAAATATCCTGAGCTGCTCCTGCATGTTGATGTCTCCCGTGACGTCACGACTTCCGCCCACCTGATGTCATGGTCCGGAATATTCAGCGGTGACGAATTTGAGCACTAGGATGCCGCCCTGAATATTTAGATTTGTGTGTTGTAGTTTTCAGTATTTGTTGCGTCTAGTTTTGGGCCGGAACGAGCGCCACACATAAGGTGTAGTCCAGTGATCCCAGATGGGTGTAGGACACCATAACAATGTGTGTACACCTTGCCAGCTTGCGGTTACCTTCTGTCGGCTTGGAGAATGAACGTCCCACGGCCCGATCCGTGACCAGGCCTCCCTCTTTGGTGGTCTGGTCAACCAGGCTGTTGGACGCGGTTTAATGCAACCTGACGTATGAATCAGAACCTGGTTAATCAATGCTGCTACACGATGGTGGTGTTGGTGTGCGTGCAATTGCCAGTAATGGTAATTGCTATGGCTCATAGCAATTGCCATTACAAAGCAATTGCCATTACAAAGCAAAGAATAATGGCTTATAGCTATGGTCAGCTCACAGGACTGACCATAGCTATGAGGTAGCCACAGTAATGACACACTAGTCTCCATAGTGATGGCCAGAGACCTGCCAACGACAGTTACAAGACTCTGCTGTTCAGTACCTTGAAGCTGCAGGAGGTAAAGTTGTCAACGTCAACGTGGGAGAATTTCATACACAAGGAAGTCGCAATAACGTGATGTATCTGTGAGAAATTTTGTAGAGCAGGATGGGGAATCGAACTTGGGTCCTGGATAATCCTTAACCCATAGACCATGACATGCTAAAGGTTATTTAAACTGGTTCGTTTAACCACTGTGCAACCCTCATACCCATCCCGTGGGCGGTGGTGTAAAGGGTTACAGAGCCACATAATAGGTTCAGGAACTGAACCTCACACACCATTTAACTAAGCCAATAACAATAACCTGGGCTGTACCCGGACTCGCTATAGGAGTGTGGAGCCACCCAGCT